GGCACAGGTTAGTTGCTAATCTAGAGATGAATAGCTATAATTAACTTGATTACTGAATTGTAAAAATGTATAGCTCAATTCTTGGCTTTTATGCAAAACGTTATCAAGCTAGCCCCATTTATAAAGCCTTGCATACTCCTTAGTGTCACTTTATTTCTGGTTTATGATGGATAAGTTTAGTTGAGTACATTCGAGTACTCAGGGTTTATCCCACCATGTTGCAGGTCAAGTTCTTCGCCTGCTGAAGATGGTGGCTAACCGCCGGTGGGCTCGGTGACTCTATATTTATTCCTCATCTATATGCTTTTATCTGAGGATGTCACTTATGCTAGCAATGTATTTGGAACTTATATTAATGTAATCATTTGAAAGCTATGTTGTTTTCACTAATCGGTTTTGAAACTCAAACTTGTACTATTATTGTGAACATATTTGTAATATTATTTTTGCTGTAACTCTACATATGTGATGTGTATTTGCTTAATCACGCGATCTTGGTTGTGATGTTGATTTACCGAGGTCTTTCGTGACACTTGGCGGACTACCGGGTTTATATAAGTGAAAGTATGCGCGTGTCAACGTGTTAGCAGGGATAGCCGCACTTGATCTTGTATAAATTGGGCGATTTTGTCACAATTTTGCTCCAAACGTGATGAACCAATTCTCACTTGGGCGACGGAAAGCCACCGTGTAAGGATGGGATAGGGGTTCGAGGGTTTCCTCGGCCTGGTGAGAAGGTCGTCTTCTTATTCGGAATGCTGTGGGGGCAGTCTTAACCTCTTCAGGTCAAGTTCTTTAGGATAATCCAGTTAAAACAGGTTGTGTTGGTGATCCCAAATGTACCTTTAGTGACAATTATGCATCCATTTCTCATTCGTTCTTTGAATATTCAGCTGCCAAGGTTATTTGGGGGAATAGTTGCTACTTGCTTTGAAGCAAATAATGTTCCAAGAAGCTTGAATCAAGTTTGGAAGTGGGTTAAAGTTTGGATTCCTAATGGAACTAATGTTCACTTTCTTGGCCTTGCTGCCACTTGCTGGCTATTTGGAAAACTAGGAATCAAGTTTGCTTTGAAGATAAATTTGTGCAAAGCCCAGTTGAAATCATATTGATGCGGACGTTAGCCATAGAATCAAAGCAGAGTGGATCAAGTGGCGACAAACTTATGGCATTCTCTGTGACAAGAGGATACCACAAAAGCTAAAATGCAAGTTCTATAGAACGACGATTAGACTGGCTATGTTGTATGGAGCAGAATGTTGGTCTACAAAGATACAACATATTCAACAACTGAGTGTTGCAGAAATGTGTATGTTGCGATGGATTTGCGGTCACACAAGAATAGACCGAGTTCGGAACGATGATATACGTGATTGCCTAGAGGTAGCACCAATTGAAGAAAAGATTATCCAACATCGGTTGAGGTGGTTTGGTCATGTCCAAAGGAGACCTCCAGAGGCACCAGTGCATTATGGAGTCCTAAGCCAAGCTAATAATATGAGGAGAGGTAGAGTAAGACCGAAATTGACATGGGGAGACAATAAAAAGAGATTTGAAAGTTTGGGATATACCTAGAGATCTATATTTGAATAGGAGTACTTGGAAAGCAGATATTGAAGTGCCTAACCGTGACTTGTGGCTCTTGGTGGGTTTCAACTCTAGCCTACCCCAACTTGCTTAGGACTGAAATGCTATGTTGTTGTTGCTGCTGCCAGTTGAAATCATATGCTATGCTTGCGCTCATGCAATTTTGGTCAGGGCTATACATGGAGGACATGCAGGAGCTGATTGCAGATGGGGTTTGTATTATGTTGCAGGCAATGTCAACCATCAAGATCAGAAAGCCAGGTAGTTGTGGAGATGGAATCACTAGGCTAGATGGTGCAAGCAAAGATTCACAGGATGGCGAAGCCTAAAGTTGACTGATCGTTGATGGATCGAGAGGCAACTGTTGTGGAACTTGAAAGGCTCTGTAATCCCTCATGAATTCTCTGATAATGGAAATGGGGTGATCTCGTGTCAAAAAAAGAAGAAAAAGCTCTGTAAACAACTGAATATACTGATGTAAATTGCAAGCAGCTGAAAGAATGAACATAATAAGCATAGCAGTACAAGACTAGTGGTTTTGCTGTTGATGTAAGCTGTCATTCAGTTGTCTCCTTTGAAAGAAAAAAAAAGGAACTGCATTCCAATGGTAGGTTAAAGCTGGTTCACTACAAAATGGTCAACTTGATGAATCCACAAGGCAATAGCTGACAGTGCATTCTATCTTCAACATATTGACAGTAGCTACTGCCTACCATCAACCTTAATCACAGGATGACAATTTCCCCAACTTGAGCAGCGACATGCAATTTGTCAGACATTGCTACAATATCTTGGGGTGACCGAGGACATGCATTATGGCAATATAGTTTATTTATACACTCCGCTGAAGATTTCCTGCTACTTCATGTACTGCTACATTTCTGATTCAAAACCAATGTTCCAAAACCCTTCTGGTGTCAGAGGCGGTGCATACCTGTACCGATGCCTTGATACACCATCGTGGTGCTCACATCGTAAGCTTGTAGAGCCTGCACCATCGCCATTTGCATGACCACCAGGAAGAACAGCATCATAAAACTTCTTGCACTGCTTGCACTCGACACCTTTCAGGTTCTCCCGATCAGCTTTCTTTCTCACTGATTCTCTATATTTGAAATCTTTCTTTGGTGGCTGTACTGATATTGTGTTTTGCTGCTTGGGAACTGCCATATTGGGGATGTGCCGGAGGGCTTGAGTTGCAATATTCATATCTTGGGTTTCATCATCTGAATTGTTGAATTCCATGTCTTGAGGAGGAGAGGCGGCAAGAGCCTGTGCTTCTTCTGGAGTTGTAGGGTTCCTGATGGTATTCTTGACAGCTTCCAGTGGTGTATCAAGGAAATCATCATGTGGATCAGCAACACCTGGTTCTTTGCATGCACGTGTCTCCCTCCAATTTAGACTTGGACCAGCGACGCTGGTTGAAGCATGTAGTTTTGAATTGTTGGCAGCATGATTTGGCAATGGATTAGGTGGGCGAGATGGCAGGGCATGGTGTGAGTTTCTGAATGGACCCCTGACTGAACTAGCATGTTGGGCAACTTGGGCTTTGGCACCTGGAGCAGAGTCATTCTTCAGGTCCCTTGTGTTGGAAAGGACCTGGATGCGCTCCTTGTTTGTGTGCTCCAAATCTGAAAACCAAGCAGTTAAGAAAATGTAAAGGCATTGGATCAATCAGTAATTCCGAGCATATTTAGGGGACAAGAGTGTCCAAGAATGGCAGATCAATCAGAGCCAATTAACAATGATTTACTTAAGATTTTCATTTGGGGGCATTGATCGGAATATCACACATAATTTACATGGGACAAGAATACAAATCCCCAGAATTATTCCAGGTAGAATAAATCACGAACAAAGATTGATGATTCAGAAAAAGTGAAGTAGCTCAAAGAAATTGACTGATTGACAAATTCGAATAGCTGTACCTTTGAGCTTTCTCTTACTTGGAGGAATTTCAGTATTTCTTCTATCTACAGGAATGTCCCCAGGAGGCTTGGAGCCTTCATGCTGGTCAATCTTCCCAAGAAGAAAGGTGTACTGAGACTTCAAATGCTTGTAGTTTGTCTTCAGCTGAGTGTAATCCTCAATCAAGTCCCTCCGCTTGCTCTGCTCCAGAAGCAGATCCTTATCCTTCAGGTCAACCTGCTGCAGCAGCCGCTGATGTGCCTCTCTCTCCCTGACCACCTCAGCGGCCTTCTCCTCAATCTCCCTCTGGAGCTGACGTACCACCTCACCTTTCCTCATCTCATCCTCCAACCTCCCCAGAAGCTGTTTCTTCTCGGCCTCATGCCTCACAGCCAATTGCTCAACCTGCTGCTGCAGCCGCTGATGTGCCTCTCTCTCCCTGACCACCTCAGCAGCTTTCTCCGCAATCTCCTTCTGGAGCTGACGTACGCCCTCACCTTTCCTCATCTCATCCTCCAACCTCCCCAGAAGCTGTTTCTTCTCAGCCTCATGCCTTGCAGCCAATTGCTCCGAATCCACAAGCTTCCCCTTCATCTCCTCAAGAGAGGTGCCCAGTTGCAGCAACCTCTCCTCCGCGAGCATCTTACCACGGCTCACCTCCTCCAGCTGGTTCACCAGGCCAGCCTCCCTCTTCCTCCACTCAGCCTCACTGGCCTTCATCGCGTCGGCGAGACGCGCCTGGACGAGCTTCGACTTGGCCTGGATGTGCGGGAAGAGCTGGCTGCAGAAGATGAACTCCATCTGGGAGACCTGGTCCTTCACTTCCTGGATGGTGGCCACGAAAATGGTGCTCAGCCCGGAGATGTACTTGAGATCATCCGCCGCGTCGACGCCGGCGCCACCGCAATCGACGGCCAGCGCCTTCCCCTCCATCTACACACCCAAGAACAGAATCGCAAACTCAGATTCGTGCGCTTGGCTAAACCCTAGAACTAAAATCGCCCAATCTGACCAGATCTCCCCGAGGGAGCACGTGAAATGCCGGTTCGAGAAGGAGATTAGGGGGAGGAGCTCACCTCGGGGACCCGATTTTACAGCGGGATAATCCTAGCAGTAGCCTTCCTCGCAGCTGGCCGCCGCCCGCCGCCCGCGCTCGCCTCAGTACCTCACTCCAAAATGTGGAAAAGATTTTCAAATGCTTCCCTCGCTGCTACTGCCCGCTTTGGTCGGTGCGGGTAATTTACAACTAGGACCCTGCTTTCAATCTATATTCGCCCTATACTATATCATATTTTCTAAATAGCACCTGCACTGTAATGCGATCAGAACCGTCCATTGATGATCTGGCGGAGAATCAGCGTTTTTAGGCTCAAAAGTGGGGCCCGTGAGCAGGGGCAGTGCGCCAACCTCTCGTCTCGACGACGGCAGGGGCGGCGGCGGCGCGCGCGCGAAGTGGTCAGTGAAATGCCCGCGCGTGGGCTCTCGGATACGACGCCACGCTTCCCATGCTCACCGCGCGCGGCCTCCGTCGGCTCGCGGCGGCGGTCTGCCTCGCACGCCGCTCCGCGTCGGCTGTGGCGGCGCTCCCCGGTGCAGGCGCCGCGCGGTTCCACGACTACGACGCCGCCATCACGGAGTGTGTCGAGAGGCGGGCGCTCCGCGAGGGGCGGCAGGTGCACGCGCGCATGGTGGCCGCGGGGTACCGCCCGGCGCTGTACCTGGCCACGCGGCTGGTGATCATGTACGCCAGGTGCGGCGCGCTGGAGGACGCGCGGAACGTGCTCGATGGGATGCCCGAGCGGAACGTGGTCTCGTGGACGGCAATGATCTCGGGTTATTCTCAGAACGAACGGCCTGACGAGGCCTGGGAGCTGTTCATCATGATGCTCAGAGCTGGTAGATCACTTAAATCATTTTGTCTTCTATTGCCACACGCACCAAACAGGCTCTTGTTATCTGGCTAACAAACCGACCAAATATGATAACGATGTGGCCTTGGACCATAGAGGTCTTCATTTCCAATGCAACTGGTCTAATGCTCTAATGGGCAAGTATGATGAATAAAATTATCTGATCTGCTTGGCTTGGTAATACATATCTGGTATCTAAACAAACTTTGATTTCCATGATGTCTCCACTGGGTTCATGATCTGCTTGGTCAGAGGCTAAAGTTATTCTCTATGAAATTTGTTGGTTATATTCTTCTGTTGATGCATTGTTGCTATCTCCATAAGCATGCATGCTGCACCACTATCCTTGAACCAAATTTTATAGCTTGGCCATCATAATTGTTTCTAACAATATATTAAGCCTGTCCTGGTAATCTGTTAGGTCTGTCCTTTCTCTTCTGCAACATGATATCCATTGGCCATCAAGTTTGCAAAGTTTGTTCATTGTTATAGGATGCACCAAAATTTTGACATCCTTCCAGGATGGTATATGAATGCTATTTTTCTAGCTTGAGTCATATATGTAATCAATTTACTTCTAACTGGCAGGATGCGAGCCTAACGAATTCACTTTGGCATCCGTCCTTACCTCCTGTACTGGCTCTCAAGGCATACACCAGGTCAAGCAAGTCCATGCTTTTGCCGTCAAGACAAATTTTGAGCTACACATGTTTGTAGGGAGTTCTCTTCTTGACATGTATGCCAAGTCAGAGAATATCCAAGAAGCTCGTAGGGTGTTTGATATGCTTCCTGCAAGGGACGTTGTTTCCTATACCGCCATTTTATCTGGCTACACCCAACTGGGCCTTGATGAGGAAGCCCTGGACTTGTTCAGGCAGTTGTACAATGAGGGGATGCAATGCAATCAAGTTACGTTCACAGCCCTTCTCAATGCATTGTCTGGACTTTCTTCCATGGATTATGGCAAGCAGGTTCATGGGCTAATCCTTCGTAGAGAGTTGCCATTTTTCATGGCTTTGCAGAATTCTTTGATTGATATGTACTCTAAATGTGGCAAGCTGTTATACACACGAAGGGTATTTGACAATATGCCTGAGAGATCAGTGGTTAGTTGGAATGCTATGCTTATGGGATATGGAAGGCATGGCTTAGCACATGAAGTTGTTCAGCTCTTCAGATCTATGCGTGACGAAGTGAAGCCCGACAGTGTTACTCTGTTGGCTGTTTTGTCTGGCTATAGTCATGGTGGTCTGGTTGATGAGGGCCTTGATATGTTTGATCATATAGTTAAAGAGCAGAGCACACTCCTGAATATTGAGCATTATGGATGTGTTATTGATCTTCTTGGACGTTCTGGACAACTTCAGAAGGCACTAAATTTGATAGAAAAGATGCCATTTCAACCAACTCGAGCAATTTGGGGTTCATTGCTTGGTGCTTGTAGAGTTCATACTAATGTTCATGTCGGCGAGTTTGTTGCGCAGAAGCTTCTTGACATCGAACCGGAAAATGCTGGCAACTATGTGATCCTTTCTAACATTTATGCTGCTTCTGGGATGTGGAAAGATGTTTTCAGAGTGAGGAAGTTAATGTTAAAGAACACTGTGATAAAGGAACCAGGGCGGAGCTGGATGATTCTTGACAAGGTTATTCATACCTTCCACTCCAGTGAGCGTTTCCACCCCAGGAAGGAAGATATAAATGCTAAAATTAAGGAGATATATGTTGCTATTAAAGCAGCTGGCTTTGTTCCTGATCTGAGCTGTGTGCTTCATGATGTTGATGATGAGCAGAAAGAACGTATGCTTCTTGGCCACAGTGAGAAGCTGGCCATAACTTTTGGACTGATGAGTACTCCTTCAGGCATAACCATCCAGGTTATGAAGAATCTTCGCATCTGTGTTGACTGCCACAATTTTGCAAAGTTTGTCTCGAAAGTTTATGGAAGAGAGATATCCCTCAGAGACAAAAATCGCTTTCATCTAATTACAGAAGGAGCTTGCACCTGTGGAGATTACTGGTGAAAGATAGAAAAGATACAATGCTATACTATTCAGATTGCTTTGCTGATAGGGGGAAGGTGTCCTTGTGTTGTTGATTGTAGTGCAGATAATGATATGTGAGGGTCCACTGAACACACTGAGATGAAATGATATGTATCATGTGCTCTACATTCTGATTTCAGATCACCACAGTACTTCAGAAAATGTAATTTTGTGAAGGATGTAATTCTACTTAGCTCTCTTGTATGTTCTGTCTACTTTAATAATCTCAGTATGTTTATACTTTATACTTCAAAAGATATACTACTGTGGTTATCAAAAAAATTGGGAATTGTTTCTCTTGTAGGTACCTTACCTAAATCATTCTAATACTAACTTCACAGTTTATGCTTGCAGACTCCGGTACCAGGGCTATATGAAAGGTTTATGCATGTAGCGCATAGTGTAAGCCATGCTCTAGTTGGTTACTTGCCTTGTAGGCAGTATATTCATAGCAAACATGGAACAAAGCTTCTTCTACCACGAAGCAGTTCAAACATCTACATCCACCCAACACTCAACATTTCTAAAGAGGTAGTTTTCAGAGCATATGTCTTCAGTTTCATCTCGCTGTAGTTAACTTTTGTATTATTTTTTTTGACGGCATAACTTTTGTATTATTTGTTTGCAAATGACATAAAAGTTTAGTATTTTATGCTATATACAAAAATTTCTCCTGGAACAGCCTGTGCTTCAATTTCAAAAGCTAAATCTGATAGCTCCATGCATTTTTTTTACTCCAACATATTTGTATCTTGTGCTTGCCAAAATGGAGATGTTTAAGTGTTTGGCAAAACTTGGTAATCTGAAACAATTTTTATTACAGGCACCGTTGGCCATGCGCTCCTTGTAACCTTGTAAACTGATGCTCTTCTATGGAATGCTGCATCAATTGGCACAGTGAAGTGGCAACTGAATTTTAAACTGCTGTTGTTGCTGTACAGTGGCAATTCAGTTATTTTCACTCATCCTATTCTTATCCTGTCATTTCTCTCCGTGTTTCTGAGGTAATTTTGAACTATCAGATGCAGTTCACTGTAATTTCCATAGTGATCTTTAGTTGTTTCAGAGTATCTTCAGATGCATTTCACCATTTATTAGATTAGTTCCCCCAAAATCCTTATCACCTTGTGCACAGAGGTAACATAAGGGCAATTGATGATTTGATGCCACTCAGGTCACGTAAAACCCACCATGAGCTACAACTGTTGCTGTTAGACATTTAGCTATCATTGGCCCCTGTGGTTTGTCTTTGTCATGAAGCTATAGCAATAACAAGGCCTTTAAGAACTATCATTGTTGTCAATAGCTATTTGAGGACTGCATATAATTGGTTCTTATTGTCTGGTATTACTATTAACCTACAATAATTCCGACAAGGTCCAAAAAATCTAGAATTATCGGCATTACCTTTTGTGAAGACCTTTGTCTGGTATTACTATTAACCTACAATAATTCCGGCTATTTGAGTATATGTTTTGCTGATCCATACAATTGCCTTATCATGGAACTAAGAAAACAGCTATGTTTGAAAAAGCTATCAGAATTGCTCCGTTGAGTGGGGAATATATTGTACATGTAGCAATGATTGATTCTTATCAGCATCTCTGTATGAATCTGGGAAAATGACAATAGTCAGGAAAGGTCACCATGGTTAGCTTTAGCTGTCACTGAAGCCATTTCTGTCTATTTTGCGAAAAGATGGTGAGATGATTATTGGTACTGCCTTGCCAAGAATGAGAAAGCGGCAAACAACACTGAGCACACTGTTTGCCTCCCTGCAGAATCTGTATCCATTCAGTGCAAAAGACAAGTTGTAGGAGATAAACTTGGTGCAAGTTTAGGTATGCCAGCTGTGCGCGCTACTATCTCCAAATTTTGGTAGCTTGTAGGAAATGCATAGCTTTGGAATTATGTGGAATTCATGATCATCAAAAATAGATTTAAGTGTTGGAGAATATTTTGGTTTTGTATTTTTATTAGGAGGACGGAGGAGGATAGTTATCTCAAATGGTAATGTACTAGCTGACAGCCTGACACCAAATTGTTTACAGTCCTTTGCATATGGATGAGCTTGTACATCAACGCAGCATAATTGATACTTTGTTAACGCAGTACTATTTTCAGATTTTAATTGAAATTGAAAGGAAAACATTATTACTGTGCATTTGACTGAGGCCCGCCCTTCCTGATTTTGGCCCAAGAGCGATAGAGACTCAGTGGACGGGCCGTGTTGAAGCTCGACACGCAGATGAGATGACGAAGACTCGAAGAGGAACAAAGGAAGGAGTTTGCCAGCGAGGCTCCAAGGACGAGCTGATCGGGCGGCGGTTGCGGAGGAGGGAGGGCAGTGGGCACGACGCCACGACGAGCTCGGGAAACGTGGCGACTATGGCCCTGACGCTATATCGACCCGAGACGAAATGGTGTTTTTCTTCTGACGCCGGAATAAAGTGTTTTAGTTTTTTTTTGTCATACTCACATCGGGCCAGTCACGCGCGCCCAGCCACAAGGTTTATCCGTCTGGCGTTTCATCCACCATGCAGAGCTGCAGCAGACCACAGCGCGCGCGCACACTCACCGAAGTTCGTCTCCCGTGACGCTTATCGACCCCGTCTTCGACATTTGACTCACTCGGAGTCGTTCGGATATATCACGCGCGTTCCTCGGAGTCGTTGGATCATCATCCCTCGAACCGATGGCGCGAGCTCGGCCGGCATTAGCCATGTCCGCGGCGGCGGAGTCGCTGCTGTGCGCGGCGGCGTTCGTGGAGCGCGGCGCGGCGCTGCACCTGTGCACGGACCGCCTCTTCAACGACACGCAGGGGCGGCAAAACGACGGCCTGCCGCACCTCACCCCGACGGAGGAGGCCACGTGGATGGCGCTCCTCCCGCGCAGGCTCGGGGCCCGGGCCGAGTTCGACTGGCTGGCGCTCTACCGCAGCCTCACGCGCGGCGGCGGGCCGGACGATGACGCCGGCGTCCCTGCACGACGTCCGCCTCCACGGCGACGACGACGACCACCTCACCACCGGCTCGTCCTCCTCCATGTACTGGCAGGCGCAGCAGACCAACCTCGAGTACCTGCTCTACCTCGACCCCGACCGCCTCACCTGGACCTTCCGCCAGCAGGCTGGCCTGCCCACCGTCGGGGACCCCTACGGCTGCTGGGAGGCGCCGGGCGGCCAGCTCCGTGGCCATTTCACAGGTTCGTTGCCCATCTTTAAGGCCCAGTTTGGTTCCTCGTGACTAGAAACTAAGAGCCTCTTTTAGTCCTTAAATCAAGGGGACTAAGAGAGGGACAAGTAGTTCTAGTTTACTCGTGCCTCGAGAGGTGTTAATTAGAACCGGTGGTCCAACCCCCCCCCCCAATTTCGCTTCATCGGTCACACTCACTCGAACTCTCCCCGAACCCTATCATCTAGCTCACACTCCTCCCCGCCGCCGCCTCTCTCGCCCGCACGACACCGCCTCCGTTCCTCCCCACGCTGGCGCCGCCCCTCCCACTCCTCCACACGGCGCATCCGCCGTGGACGGCCAATACAACCACTACCGGGATTCCTTCACTCAGGCATCGGTTTCTTCCTACGTCGCATCTGGCTCCTCTGCTTATCCTGCCTTCCCCACCGCCGACGAGTTCGGCCTCTATTCCCAGGCCCCGCCTTTTCCCTTCGCTGGCAGCAGCCAGTCTGCTCCCCACATGCGCATGGAGAACCTAGATTTGAATTCCCAAGTCGACGCCTTCCCCCACCTCGACGTCTTCCCCAACCAGGAGCAGCTGCAAGCGGATGGAGGTCGTGGCGGCCATGGCCTTCCTCCACTTGGCCTTGGCGGCAAAAGCAGTCTCAGCCACTTTCACCCTCCGCGCCCAAGCTCTCATAGCCGATCTGGAGCTAGATCCGGCGGGTGGCCATCACGATCTGGTCCGCAGGGGCTTCCAATGGCCGGAATATGCGGTGGTGACCGCAGGGGAAGGGTGCCCCTCCGCGTTGGTCGTGGATCCACATTTGCGGGCACTGCAGAGGATGTAGACCGCGTCGACAAAAACGAAGAACAAGACAACAACGACTTTGATCCACGTTTTCAGTCGGTAAGATCGGGTTTGGTACTAGGTACTAGTTGGTTAGTCATCAACAAAAAAGAAAGAGCGAACCCAACTAGATAACAGTATGCAGTTTATGTTTGACCTCTGCTTCTCTGCCGCCAGCACTATTACCGTGCTATACTATATTACTAGTTGATGTTGTCTTGTTCCATTACATCACTAATTAAACTGCTAGCTACGAGAGGCGAAATCTAGCATTCTATTAGGCTATCTATTACTAAAATACAAGACCCAAGTTGAGGCATAGGGCGTTCAATAATTCGGCATCTTCTCCAACAACAAGACCTAAAAGAGAATCATTCTCTCAAATGGGCTTTGAATGAATTCTCTTTTTAGGTCTCCGTATAGGATGTGGTGGGTCTCCACCATTTGAGTGCCCCCTGTTGGATTCGAGGATCCTTATATATCCATTTCATACGTCTGATGTTCCGCCGCCATTTGAGTGACTCCTCTGGATTCGAGGATATATACATGGTGGGGTGAGTGACACGGTGGGGTGAGTGAGTAATAAGCGAGCTAGCGAGAGATGTGGCATATCTCTGCTGCTGGAGTGCGTGCGTGGTGCAAATTTGTAATCGTAGACAGAAGAAGTGCTATTACTGAATGAATGAAGGAATCGAGGATTGAATTGGTGCAGGCATGGAATGCTCGAGCACTAGTAGTCAGTTACTACTAGTTTTAATATTTCTTGTATTATATTAGATTGTTGGTTAGCTTAGCTACATTCTATAGATGATAGATTGTAGTTGTGGTAGAGCAGAGTAGATGATGATGCTTTTTATTTTCTGCTTTTCTGTTCTGGTCAGTGGTAGGTACCTTTGCTGCTAGTTCCATGCTACTTATGTAGTTACCTCAATCATATTTGTTTTAACTAGGAGCATTTCCATGCAACATATTTGAGTATTGCTGCAGAGGTATCCTTAGAGTTTGGGTACTACACACATGAATGATGTGAATTAGAAAGATTACATTTATTGCCATGCTACTTATGTAGTTAGAGTTAGACTACTTTTTACAATAGCATTACCTTTTTATAGTTTTAGTTTATTGTCTTCATGTGAAGTAGTATGTGACTGTTATTTCAACCAGCTGAAGCCTCAAGTACCTCTTATTTGTCTGCATTTTGTACACCAATTTACAGTTGAGTTTTGCCGCATGCTAGATATGTGATGCCATCTTTTTACTGTTATAGAAGGATTATGACAAGGCACATTGGGGTGACCAAAACATATACTATTTCTGTGAACTTTTTATTGAACAAATGAGAAAAGGGAATTGGAATAATGAGACAATGATCACTAGAGGTAACAACAAAATTCGAAAAAAAATATTACCGCATCACTAATCTCTGGCATGACACCAAATGCATGAAGAATCGAGTAAAAATTGCAAGACAATGTACCAGTTCTGGTTGAAGCTTAATCAAAACACAGGGTTAGACCGAGAACCTGATGGCACAATTAATGCATCGCCTGAATGGTGGACCAACAACACAAAGGTACTTACTGCTTTGGTTTCACCTAGACCATGCGCCTTGCTCGGTGTGATGTGATCTAATCATTTGTGTTCTTCATCTGTGCATTTCAGGGACAAGCAGAGTGCAAGAAATTTCAGTCGGGCAATCCTGCTTACTTGCACCTTCTAATTGAGATGTTCCAAGGTGTGACAGTAGATGGGTCATCTTCATGCATCCCTAGACAGCAAGCATATGATGTTGTAGGGGATGACGCGGTTGAGGTTTCTGGGGTTGCTGCTTGGAGTCCTGCAGGAAGTGGGAACAGTCCAATGAGTAGTTCCAGCCGCAAGAGGGCAAGCAGCAGTGCCACTACAGCCGAGTCCATCCAAGAAATGCAAGTTAGGCGACAGTCCACCCAGGAAAAGCAAGACACCTTTGCTGAACATGATGAGTGGAATCATGTCCACTGGCCATTGACTCGTTTGATTTATTTACTGTTGTTTATTAGGGAACTCTGACATGTCCATTGACCATTGGCTTGTCTGATTTACTTACTGATGTTTATTAGGCAACTTGCGCTGTGATATGTCCATTAGCCATTGACTTGTTTGATTTACTTACTGCTGTTTATTAGGGAACTTGAACACATTTCGGATTGCCTTTGCTAACTACGCCTATGCCTTTTAATGAGCTATAGACCAGCTATTCAGTTTCATGTACACTCTCCAGTTTCTTATATATGCCACCTTACCAGCATTCTAGTATGCTTGATGTCATATAACTGTTAATAATTTTTTATTTTATCTTATATATATTGGTGGGTGCTTCAGGTAGTTGTGCACGTCAATTTTCATGCTACAAGTCTGCAACTGCATTTATGTCTTAATTCCATGTTATATAGGAAGTTTTATCTTGTAGACTTGGGTTACCCGAACCGAATGAGTTATCTTGCACCGTACAAGGAAACAAAGTATCATCTCAAGAGTTTCGGCAAGGACCAATGACAAGAGGTAAAAAGGTGCTCTTTAATTATTCGTCATTCTTCATTTCGAAATGTCATCGAGCGGTTTTGGAGTTTTGAAGATGAAGTGGAGGATATTGTTAGATTTGCCGAGTTATCCAATGGCAAAGCAAAGCCAAATAGTTATGGTTTACATGGCCGTTCATAATTTCATTCGAGAGAGTGCTTTAGCGGATACGGATTTTGATATGTGTGATCCGGATGAAAGCTATGTTCCAATGGCCAAAGCATCGTCTTCTTCTCAAGGAAATAGACAACGTATACGTCAAGGGGACGAAGATCGAAAATATGAATCAATTTCGGGATTGGATAGCTGATGGTTTATTTAGGAGATCGTAGGTCCGATGATTTGTAATATTGAATATTTATGAACTGCATGAACACTATTTTGAATATATGAATGATTTAGGGAGAGGAAAACCTGCCGGCAACATGGCAAGGCAAGGCAAAGCAAAGCAGCACGCCAAGGCAAAGCAAGCAGCGCGGGAATAGGGTACTGCCCCCAGCAGATTTGTGTATTGAATAAGGGTATCATGGTCTTTGTACAACAGATTAGTCCCTTAAACCAAACAACACGAGGGACTAGGCCTGTTCGGTTCATATTAAAGCCGGCTGATAAGTCGACTAAAGCTATTTTGTTGTGAGAGAAAAATACTATAGATTCTAGATAATCTTGATAAGTTGTGCAGCAGATTAGTGCTTGCCTTAAACGATCGTATATTTCTAGCTGAAAGGGATCTCCCACAAACCAGCTAAGAGACTTTTAGAAACCAAAGTAAACGTGCCCCTGATCTCTAGTCCCCAAGGGACCAGACAGGCCCAAATTCCGTTGCCGCTTCGTTCTGCTCGTGCGTCAGTTGTTCATCGGCGGACTTCTTTGTGACTCTCTTCTTCCACTCTCGCCTCGATCTTCCACTTGCTACTCTGCTCTTGTGTGTTTTCGCAGGGACACTACCTGAGCGCGAGCGCGCACATGTGGGCGGCCACGCACAACAACACCCTCAGGGAGAGGATGACGAGGGTGGTGGACATTCTCTACGGCTGCCAGAAGAAGATGGGCACGGGATACCTCTCGGCGTATCCCGAGAACATGTTCGACTTGTACGAGCAGCTGGACGAGGCATGGTCGCCATACTACACCATCCACAAGGTACGTGCAGATCAGGCGTTTGTCCTTCCTTTTTTTTTGTTCCATCCATGGTCCAATGCAACCTGTGTGTGATACGATCTCATCCTTGAAGCAGCAGCGTTGTGTATTAAGAACTGAAACCCCATCTCATGTTTTGTCTGATGCTTTGGTGTTCTGACAGATCATGCAGGGACTTCTCGATCAGTATATGTTGGCCAGTAACAAGAAAGGTCTTGACGTGGTGGTGTGGATGACTGACTACTTCAGCAACCGTGTGAAGTGATACAGAATTACACTATTCAGAGGCATTGGGAGGCCATGAACGAGGAGACCGGTGGATTCAACGACGTCATGTATCAGTTGTATACTATAACGGTAATCTTAGTGTCATTACAGTTGGTAGTATTCAGTAGTATCTTGACTTGGATTGTGCATCTCTCTGCAAACTTTGTGGTATTATGTTGTTCTTACAGCATTGGTTCTTACTCCCTACAGAGAGACCAGAAACATCTGACAATGGCTCATCTTTTCGACAAACCATGCTTCCTTGGACCTCTTGGTCTTCATGTCAGTACTTGGAATTTTTCTTTTTGCATTTCCAGTCTGGCCTACCAGCAATTAAGCGATATCGATCTCTGTCTTTCAGAAAGATGACATATCGGGCTTGCATGTAAATACGCATCTCCCTGTCGTCGTTGGTGCACAGAAGAGATATGAGGTCGTTGGTGATCATCTTTACGAGGTAAACGAAAAGTTGTGTCGACTTTACCAAGGACTCCTGCATGATTGATACTATTGTGCACTCACCTGTTTGACTGTTCAGGCAGTAAAGAAATTGAGCGAATTACTTGTGAGCCATTATAATCATATCAAATCATATCTTTTTTACGGAATTAAATGAAGATAATTTTATATAAAAATTATAGATCTCGACGAGATCTACAACTTTCTAGTTTTGAGTTTTTTAATTCGAAGTCGTTAAGATGCTCAAAAAAATTAATGACATATTTAGACCTAAGAGTATTTTTGACTTTTCACATCTGCAGTTGACACCGTTAGAGCCCAATCTGATGGCAGTGACATTGAGAACAAAAAAAAAGTTAGAGCAGTGGCGCTGGAGTCTGCCGAACTTTTTCAGTGGCTCACAGAAAATTACAATCTTTTTTAATGGCTCACCGAATTCCCTCAAAGAAATTGATATGAAATCTTTACAATTTGAGTTACCGAACACAAAACCAACCCATGGCACAGGACATCTCAACCTACTTGTTTGATGTGGTAAATTCTTCTCATACATTCGCAACTGGAGGTACATGTACCATAGAACACTGGTGAGTCATCACACTTACATTCACCATGCACTTTTTTTAAGAGTTCATGACTTCATGGTAATCTCCCAGCTCCAAATTTTTGTGCATGCCAGGCATGACCCAAAGCGGCTGGTGGACGAGATCAAAATAAGCTCAAACGAGGAGACCTGCGCCACCTACAGCTTCCTCAAGGTGAGCAGCCCCACTCCTCGTCTCCGAACGCAATCCTGAGACTTGCTTGCCTGCAGGTTTTGCGGAACCTGTTCCGGTGGACAAAGGAGGCCAAGTACGCAGACCACTACGAGAGGCTGCTCATCAACGGGATCATGGGCAACCAGAGGGGAACACAGCCTGGTGTCATGCTCTACTTTCTTCCCATGGGGCCTGGGCGATCGAAGAGTGTCAGTGGCCTGCCCCCCTCTGGCCTTCCGCCAAAGAATCCAGGGGGATGGGGAGGTCCAAACGACACGTTTTGGTGCTGCTATGGCACTGGTATTCTCTTCTTAAATACTTGCGATTGTGAAAGTTATTCTGTTTGTTGTTGTTGTTGCCTGAATCTTGTAGTTTGCGTTTACAGGGATAGAATCATTCTCAAAGCTAGGAGATTCCATATATTTCCTGGAGGAGGGTGAAACTCCAGGGCTCTACATCATCCAGTACATACCGAGCACCTTCGATTGGAAAGCCACAGGCCTCACTGTCAATCAGCAGGCCAAACCCCTGTTATCAACGGACCCCTTTTTCAAAGTTTCGCTCACCATTTCTGCAAAGGTAGCTTCTCAATAACACTGTCAGCCAGTCATGATCTTCAGGCTCCATTATTAGTTGCGAAGATCAGGATTATATTGTTATTTCTTTCACATTTCAAATGCTCAAGGAGATGCCCAATTAGCAAAGGTTAGTGTCAGGATCCCGTCATGGACATCAACAGATGGCACAACGGCAGTTCTGAATGGCCAGAAACTCAACCTGACATCAACTGGCAACTCAACTAATGGTATCTGAAAATCTTGATTTAAAAATATCAAATTTTATACTGTTCCATACGATACTATGAGAGTGATTCATGCACATTCAAGAAAAAAAATGCGATGCCTGCAGGTGGTTTCCTGACGGTGACCAAGCTCTGGGCCGATGATACCTTAGGACCCTCCAATTCCCTATTACCCTTAGCACTGAGGCAATCAAAGGTATGAAATCTCAGACAAATACCGGAATTGATTCGGATCGCTATTTCTCCCTTTTCCTGAAGAAAAACAAATTTAAGTGTCTGAACTCTGAACTAGAGACTGAAATGGAGCTTTCATTTCAGATGACCTTCCAGAATACGCGTCCATCCAAGCGGTGCTGTTCCGGCCGCACCTCCTCGCCGGCCTGACACACGGCAAGGTGCCAGTGACAGACAGCAACCACTCCAACGACGGCCTGACCCCGAGCATCTGGGAAGTGAACGCTACAAGCGCCGCCTCCGTCGCCGACTGGGTCACTCCGGTCCCCTCCGAGTCGCTCAACTCACAGCTCGTCACGCTGACGCAGAGCGCTGGCGGGCGGACCCTCGTCCTGTCGGTGTCCATCGCTGACGCGAAGCTCGGTGTCCCTGGAGCTCGCCACCAGGCCGGGGTGCTTCGTGACGACGGCGGCGGGCGCGGGCGCGAACGCCGCCACGCAAGTCGTCTGCCGGGGCAACAACGACGGCGCCAGCGCGAGCGACGACGCCGACGCGGCGTTCCAGCGCGCGGCGAGCTTTGTCCGCGCGGCGCCGCTGAGGCGGTACCACCCGCTGAGCTTCGCGGCGCGCGGGACGGCGCGGAGCTTCTTGCTGGAGCCGCTGCGGAGCCTGCAGGACGAGTTCTACACCGTCTACTTTAGCCTCGTCGTCTCCGCCGCCGAGAGATGATTGATTGGTGTGCACGTGAACGAACTGGAGGACTGAACTGATCAGTGATCACGCTAGTTTCGCTGTACAATGACGCACTGTATCCCCCTATGAACAATGAGCAATATGGAGTACGTACATGGATAATATTGGACGCCAAATGCCATAGCCATGGATGCTCGTGTTCGCATGATGGAGTTGAGCTCTCTCGTGGCGGTCAGGCGACTCAGGCGCCTTTTAGAACTCAAGCATTCTACAGGAACACAGGATAGTGGTTCTGGTTCATTTGCCAGAGACACGGGAAACTGGAACTGGGTCAAATCGTTGGAAAAAGACCAGCAGGTGTGCCCTCTCAGGGCCCAGCGCATGACACACTGTACGGCCTCTTCCTTCTTTCAGCATTGTTGGACGTCGCGTGGAGGAGAAAGGAGTAATCCCTCCCTCCCACCAGAACATTGGTCGTTTTCGTTTTCGAGAAACAACTTTGATAAAATATATATTAAAAACTATCAATTGATTTCATTGCAAAGATCTTTAAATCTAGTTTTTTAATAAATTTATTTAGATACAAATGTTACACGGATTTTTCTACAAATCGAGTCAAACTTGCGGTACGGAAACCAAAAGCGACATATAATTTGGGACAGAAGCAGTACTTGAAAGTGATTCTGGCAATTTACTCCGAGGAAGTTTCTTCGAAACTTAAAAAGTTTTGCTCGAAAAGGTTCTTCCTCTGAGAAGTTTTCTAGAAAAAGCTGTCTAGAAAATTTTCATTAAAATAAAACAGTATGTGGAAGGAGAAAACTTACCAGGAGGGATGCTGCACATTTACAGAAAATGGCATCAAGATGAGTATTTGCATCGATGCCGAGTAAAACTCAGGGATAGAATAGTATTTAGTTTCCCGTTATCTGACCTAAGGCTCCATTTAGAACGTATGAATTTCACAGAAATTATATATAAGTTTTACAAAATCAATTTATTTTCATAGAAATAGAAAAAGAATCCCGCATTCTAAAGGACCCAAAGGAAAATCGGTGATCGTCTGATTCAGCTGAGCTGCTCTATTTAAATGACAGATAGGCCCATGGTACTTTGGGTTTACAAGACAGAAAAGTTGGACTATGGTCAGAATTCAAACCTTGCTCACACTACGGGTACTCATCTATTTTACACCCTCCAAATCCCAAATATGAGTGCTCTGTCTACTCCCTCCAATCTCAAATATACTACAGATTAATTCAGTATTCTTCGAAATATATTAAATGTAAGCCTATGATAACTTCTTGTCTCTTTTTGCTTCCTTTTTCTATGCCTACCCCAACTTAAATGCACGCTAATCAATTCAATACGCCAGCCACGCAAGAACCAGAGAAAAGGGTAACGAAGGAGAAAAAGAAACAACTTTTCTGACGATATTTAATCGGAATTAAGAAAATAGTAAAGATATTATAAGATATTTGTGTTTACACCAAAATTTAGAAAAAGAAGTTGCAGGGACTCGAAAGCTCCCAAGATCATGTCACTAGGAATCAATTGCGTGCAGATCGGAACCAGCTGATTCGGATGCAGAAACTGAAATCGGCTTTCCTCAGATAGCACCAGCGGATAACAACAAAGGCTACGTTCGGCGCCAGGATGAAACATGATGGACTCTACAAAAGGGAAAGATTAGAGTCCAAGTTATCTTAAATTAGAAATATTTTCTCTAGGGTCAAAAATTATAATGAGTCGTGCTTAGACAGGAGTCATGCACAGGGCCCGGGTATAAATACCAAACCCCACTATTGTAAAAAAACAACAATCAATCCAATACACAAGTTATTTACTTTTTTGGCTCCGGCCACCCTTAGAGTAGGAGTAGAGTAGATCTCGGCGAGTTCTTCGGCAAGTAAGGCTGCATCGATCCGGTCGACCTCCACTGCTTGTTGTAAGTACCGTCATGGCTTATACCTCTATTCGTACGGCTGCATCGATCCGGTCGACCTCCACTACGACTCTGGTATAAGTTAGTTATCGACTCTTGCCTAGTTCAAGTATGGCTGCATCGATCCGGTCGACCCCCACTGCATAAACTAGATCAAGGTCAAGTTATCGGCTCTACCTTAGGATGGCAGCCTTTGATAGATTCATTAAGTTACCGATATTGCTTATTGCTTTCATTATTTATCTAATTACATCAATATCACTCTGCGCGATTGGGATTGATCTAGATCGGTCTTATATCTTGTTTAGCCCATCGTTTGCTAATCTAAATTGATGTAATCTACAGCTTAAACGATGAGTTATATTTTATCGGCTGTTCTATGTCAATCCTGATCATGAATAACGTGCGGTTAAGGCGTGTTGTGTCTTGAGTAGATTTATTGGCTAGCGAGAACCGTTTCATGGCCTGTTATCACGGCCTGTGTGATTCTGCCTCACACCCCACTGTTAGCACCGTGGAGTGGGGATCGTTATTTAATAGATCTATTCCTGATAAGGCATGACCCATGCGCTTATGCCCGAATCGGTTGTTTTATGATATGCTTTCACGTATGTACTCGCATCACGAAACCGTTGAAGTAAAGATAGGTTGAAAGATATGTTAGCCCCATGATCTTATTATTGTATTACGGCATGTATGATTCTGCCTCATGTCCTCTTGATATTAGTAATGAGTTAGGATCGTCGAGTCTATTGTTATTTCTTCGGCCTGCATAATTCTGCCTCATGCCCCACTGGTGAAGGGTCGAGATGGCGGACTAGAGGGGGGTGAATAGTCTTTTCTAAAATTAATCGCGTCGGCTAACCGATATAAATACGGAATTAAAACAATCGGTCTAGCCAAGACTACACCCCTCTATATATGTTCACTAGCACCTTGCAAAGATACTAATAAAGCAACTAAGGTGCCGGGCTAGCTAGAGCTCTCCTAAACAATTCTAGGAGCAAGGTCACACAAACATATGCCACTAGTACTTTAAGTAACAAGGGAGCTCCTACACATGCTAGTAAGCAAAAGCACAAAGCTAACTAAGCTCACTAGCAATGCTCAATAACAAGGCAACCAATGCCTAATTAGAGAGCGCAAATACTTAGCTACACAAACTAAGCAATATGACTAACAAGGTTACTAAAACCAAATTAACCACGCAAGAGAGCTACTTCTATGCTACACAAGCAAGAAGGTAATTAGCTAGCTACACAAGCTATCTAATTACAAGAGCAACTACACAAGCTTAAGATATATATATATATATAAGTAATTGCAAGCTTGTGTAATGGGGATGCAAACCAACGGGAAGAACAAGGTTGACACGATAATTTTTCTCCCGAGGTTCACGTGTTTGCCAACACGCTAGTCCCCCGTTGTGTCGACCGCCACTTGGTGGTTCGGGTGGCTAATTAGCATCCGCTAAGCCCGCACGTCGGGCACCGCAAGAACCTACCCCTTGAGTGAGGGTAGCTCAATGACACGCTTTACTAGAGTTGCTCTTCATGCGGCTTCATTGCAGCACAATGCCCCTCACAAGCACTTCTCGGGAGCGCCGCACAAGCTTCATTGGACGGAGACCACCACTAACTGCCGTCTAGGAGGTGGCAACCTCCAAGAGTAACAAGCACCACCGGCTTGCAACACGACCACCTAGTGCCACTCGATGCAACCTCATGATGCAATCGCACTAGAATCGCTCACTCACACAATCGAATGATCACTATCAAGTATATGTGTGATAGAGGGCTCCCAAGCACTCACAAGCATGGACACTAAGTCCCTTGAGGTGCTCAAGATCAGCCATGGCCGAGGGCCACTTCTATTTATAGCCCCAAGGACTAAACTAGCCGTTACCCTTTCATTGAGCAGCGGTCGGGCGCGACCGACGCGCCCGGTCGTGTTGACCGGACGGCTGGACCTCGGCGTCTCGTCGGCATGACAACCACGTGTGTCGGTTCCAACGGATTCACTTAAGTTCAATCGACCGGCCGGATGAACCCCAGCGTCCGGCCGTTTTCAGATAGTATTGACCTCGACCGGACGCGTCGTCGGTCACACTTGATCATCAGCGTCCGGTCACACTCGGCTTTCTGCGTCATCAGATCGTCACCGACTGGACGGACACGCCTGCGCCGTCGTTATCTTGAGATCAAGCGTCCGGTCATTGACTTACATCAAAGATCTTCGCGACTAACTCGTTTTCACTTCTAACTTCATCACCCTTGCTCCAATGTGCTAACCACAAGAACTTGCATCCGGCGCCAATAGAAAATAGGCATTCTATTTTCCGAAAGCGCCGAATCCATCTCAAGTTTCGGCGAGAGGGAGAGGGACCCAAACCCATCTCACCCCTGCATAACCTCCTTTGTAAATGTGCTAACACCACCAAGTGTACACCACCATGTGTATGTGTGTTAGCATTTTCACAATCATTTCCCAAAGGATGTTAGCCACTCAACTTGCCACGCCACTCGATCCTAGCGACAATGCAAAGTTAGATCACTGAGTGGCACTAGATGACCGACATGCAAACAAGTTTGCCCCTCTGATAGTAATACTGCCATCTATCCTAAACCCGGTCATAAACTTCTCTACACACACCTATGACCGGTGAAATGAAATGCCCTAGGTTATACCTTTAATAGATTCCATTCCATCTCCTTCAATGTCGATGCAACACATGCACCAACACGATCAACAATGATATGATCCACTTCATATCATCACATGATCATATTGGTTCATCGATCTTGACTCTACTTGCTCTTCACCGTTATCCGGCGCCAAGTCTTGCTCAAGCTTCACCGCCACGCGGTCCATCACTCCAAAGCCTTTGACTTGCCCTTCACGCTTGCAACCGGTCCATCAAGCCAAGTCTTGTCTTGATCTTCTCCACCTTGATCACATGACTCAATGTCATGTCTCATGTGCAATAAGCTCCTTCATCATCACATGTGTGAGCTTTGCAACATCTCCAAGCCATTTTCACCTCCATGGTATATGTTGCTCATACAC